TGTTGACGTGACTGTTTGGTTTAATGCTGAGGTAAACAATTATGAGAAGTCCTATGTAAGTGCCTTTTTGTCAGCTTTTGTGGAGTTCAACTTTGTGACTTTGAAGAAGAGGCACTCAAGTCTTCCACGGAACCAGTCAGATAAGTCTAATATACAGGTCCTGAGATTACGGTCTTCCCGAAATTGTGTGTCATGGACGTACACCGGCTAAAGATATTGCTCAGGAGCCATGATGATCATGACATCTGAAGCTTGGAATTCCAATGGCAAATCTGATTACCAAGAACTTTATTCCTGTCTTTCTGTTTGTGTATCCTCTCATTTGTTTAGCCACTGGATATTCCTTCTGTTGCGATGCGATATTATTTTATTATTTTTGCATGAAACAATTTAAATATACAAGAGTCTTGGTTGGTGTCATTACTTAAAAAGTTCATTTTTATTAGGCGTTAGTTTGTGTGTGTGTGTGTGTGTGTGTGTGTGAGTGTGTGTGTGTGTTTCATAGTCAGAACTCTAATTATTGTTTGACTAAGATTGTGACCCCTGTCCATTCTGGGGGGTTTGTCAGTGGTGACGTTGTCTAGTCGAGGTGTGCCATGGGTGTCCTTGGTGCCAATGACTTGAGTGACCTCATCAATGGAGTGGTGTTGGATGGTTGCTGGAGCAACGGGCTCGCCGCCTAGACCAATAGGAACCACCATCACAAAAATTGTCAGTCCAGACTGTCAGTGCATCTTCAGATATATTTATAGATTAGGGAGAGAGCACAATTTGACACAAGACACCACCGTCTTGTGACTACTGCTCGCAGTAGTTGCAGGTGGCCGAAGTTTTGTTATGTTTAAATTGATGGAAGGACGGATGGATGGATGGGTGGATGGATGGATGGATGGATGGATGGATGGATGATTGGATGGACGGACGGAAGGATGGATGGATGAGGGCCGACCAGTCTACACGAGCTTGCCCTAAATTGGTTCTCCAGTGGAAACACCTGTATCACCATCATCATCGAGCGCCTTGCCTACTGGCGTGGGCGTGTGTTGATACCCATCCATGCCATGTCAAAAGGCTGTCAAGAATCTTCTCGAACTGTCTTCATCTGTCTCTTCCTCCACAAATCTTTCCAGTGGTCACAACATATTCCATCTTCCCTCTTCTTATAACATAAACAAAAATGATGGCTGTCTCTTTCTGATGTTTGTGATAAGTTTTCTTCGAGCACTTGCCTCTTTCAAAGCACATAAGTTACTATTCTTAGCTGCCTAACGAATTCTACGCATTCTTCTGTAAAACTATATCTAAGCGGCCTCCAAATATTCTTCGGCTTGTCAATTAAATGTCCAGAATTCACCACTGCATGCTAGAACAGGCTCTATATAGTATGCGAAAATTCTTTTCTTTATCTTCAAAGATTAGGAATTATTGTACAAACTATTCTTCATTTTTATTAAAGGCATACGGCCTCACTGTTGTAGTATATCTGTAAACTTTACGTGGTTTTGTTACTCCTATGATCCGTCGCTAAAGGATAACACAGGTTTTTAACACATTTAAGCTTCCTTTCTCTCGTGATTTTCCGTCTTGCTTTCTTTTTTCAGTTTCCGACCGATTTTGTAAATTTCAAATACTAGGAAGGCAGTCACATATTAAAGCGAGAACGAAATCCTTTCCGGTGGTATTAAAACTCAAGGCATATTTCCGGTGCGTCGAAGTAATTGCTATTACACAGTGATTGTCTTGAAATGTATCCGTGTAAACGCAGTCAAATAATCAAATCTACCTGGTAACCTGTTCTATTAATCCAGCTAATATCCTGTTGTCTTTTCCTTGATGATTTTCTCCGCACTTTTTCTCACTGTTGATGTTTTATACAGTAATACGTACATCAATATATACAAATGCATCAGAATTAGCTAGCTGAGCTATGAACAGCTTTTAGCAGGACTATGTGCTTTATAAGGTCAACATAAAATAATCACGAAGAGATAAAGTTTTGTTTGTTTTATAGTGACAGATTTAAACACGTACATAATCATGTTTATTTTCACAATACACAAACTACAGAGGTTAAACTGTCTGTCTCTATTTCTCTGTCTGCATGTGTATGTGTGTTTTCTTGTGTGTGTGTGTCTGTGTGCGCGCGCGCGCGTGTGTGTGTGCGTGCGTAATATCCAGTTAGAGAATGATGTTATATTATTTAATATTTCTGGCACTAATCGAGTTCGTGTCAGGAAGATATATAAATACTTTGTTAATAATAAAAAAACATACAATTATACTGTGATAAAATCATAACCACTATGCAGTCTAGGCTAATTAATCCAAATTGTGTCGCTGACAGACACAGCCAATGTAATTGTCTGCGATACAGTGATAATTACATTCGAAGAGGAACATACTGTAAACATCCTGTCAGAATCTATCATATGATTTTCATAAGTACTGTAATCGGCAGCCACAGGTCAGGTAATCCTAAGGACATGACACCGTCCGATATCGAGTCTGGGGTAGTCACCACAATGTAACAATTATCATGTTGCATGCTGTAATCTACTAGATCGAGATCAAGACGGCCATATACTTTACATCGTAGTTTAGTCTAGCTGGCGTTTGTTAGTAAAACTGCAACAGTTGTCTATCCTGCAAAGTTTATAGCCAAATGTTGTTAGAGTCTCTAGAAGCGCAAGACATTTACTTGTTCTTTCGTTGTTCTTGAGAATTATTTTTGTTTGCTCTGGACGTATTTTAAAATACAATCTGTGCGTGAGAGTCGTTGGCTAGATGTCATCTATGCGTGAGAGTTGTCTAGATCTCATCTGTGTGTGAGAGTTGTCTAGATCTCATCTGTGTGTGAGAGTTGTCTAGATCTCATCTGTGTGTGAGAGTTGTCTAGATCTCATCTGTGTGTGAGAGTTGTCTAGATCTCATCTGTGCGTGAGAGTTGTCTAGATCTCATCTGTGCGTGAGAGTTGTTGTCTAGATCTCATCTGTGCGTGAGAGTTGTCTAGATCTCATCTGTGTGTGAGAGTTGTTGTCTAGATCTCATCTGTGCGTGAGAGTTGTTTTCTAGATATCATCTGTGCGTGAGAGTTGTTGTCTAGATCTCATCTGTGCGTGAGAGTTGTTGTCTAGATATCATCTTCCTCTTTACTTTCCAGAAAATGTATTCGTATCCATGTTAGCAATAGTTAATTCATGTGCAATGTCAATCCTAAATACGAAACCATTTCATGCTAACCGCTCGCTTTCATGGCTCTAAAACTAGACGAATCTAAATCTAGTTGTCATCTAAACATTGCCAGGTGTATTCTAAAAAAAATTATTATTGTAAATTGAAGCATTCATGAAAATTAGTAACACCAAAAAACTTATCTTCCGAAAAGTCTTGATACTATTCTAAATCAATATTGTCACCACGTAGCAGAGCCTTTGCAGTACGTCGCATTTTTTACGGCACACCGGAAAACCACTTGGTAAACTTCAATTTTCCCGCCTTGCAAAATGCTATGCCCAGGGTGTCCTTGATATCTAGTGTTCACTGTCGTGAAGTCTTCCAAACTACCAATACTGCATTGGCTCACCCAGGTTAGCGGGGGGAGGGAGCGTCTTTGAGTTTGAGGATGTTCGTATCGTGAAGAGTTGTAATATTCCACCGGTCTCTGATATTTCAAGAATTCACGCATATACAAAATGTAAAAGCCACTGAATGTGTATTTTTCCTCATATGATTGCTAAATTGTTCTCGACTCACCTCAGTGTATTGCCCCAAGATAGAAACATATTCTTCAGATTTACTGTACCTCATTTGCTGGTATTCTGGTATGTTGTTTCATACTAGATCTAAGGTACAGTTCATTGTATAAAATGCATTGTTACAACCTTATCTGAGGCCAAATAAATATTGTCTTTTTCTAATGAGTTTACATTTCTTGTGCCCAAATTTGTGGCAATACTTTTCACAAATTCAATACGTTTTGACTCACTTCTGTCTCATTTTTTGTGTGGAGAAACCAAATGTGGCCATATTCTACCAGCTTCTCTCGAATAGTAGTAAATTTTACCCCACCAGGACATCACACAAGCGATAATCACGCTTCTTCTAAAAAAAAAAAAAGGTTTTACTAAGAATTGTGACTTAGTTATTTGCGGCAATTTTATTGGTGGAATCTATTTTTAGAACCATTTTCAGTGGCCCAGTATCCCTATCTATTATTTTAAGTTTGAAGTTTAAACAAAGGGTCAACATTATGACACACGAAAAGCAACCCACAAGAACTCCGTTCAAGTCTTAGTCGAAGAGGCTAAGCACAGTTCACAGGCTCTGTAGCACCGGTGAGGATTCTGAAATAATTTGGGTATATGTTTAACTCGAAATTTCGCCTGTGTTGCGCCGTTAGGCTAATCTTTTTGATTTCCAACTGTCAAGAGAATTTTTACTTGAGCAACAATACATACGGGCGTCCGATCTAACTACACAGAGACCAGGGGAAATTACTAGAAATCCAGGTCCTCGTAAAAAGTCCCAGCGCTTACCAGGGATTGACCCTGGAACCTCTACCACTCGTGGCGGACACAATGCCTCAAGACCACGCAGCCCCTATCTTTTATTTGTGGTGCCCCTTCCTCCATGTCCGAGTCTGGTATTTTAGTCTTGTTGTTGGTGTTTCCCCTATAGCTTTGCCCCTGTTGTTTGTCCGCTATTAATATATTTATCTGTACGATCCTGTTTCTTATATATTCCCACGTAGCGTGTGTCCTCTGTTCTCTTCTCTCCCTATGTGGGTGTTTCTTAATTTCGGTTTCATGTGTTACTTCTTGCTGGGGTCACATCCAGTCTGGTCCGTATCAAGACAGAAGTGAGCCTGGCCATCCGAGGAAACGACCTCATCTGTAGAGCTGTTACATGTGATATTCACTATAATATTATATTACTAAAAATATCGTAAATAGTGATTAGTCATTTATTTTGTGTGTGCTGCGTTTCTGAAACACAGAACATGGTTTTAAATGGACCTGGTAAAGATCCACAAAACATTTCAACAACGACATCACTTGCTGTCTACGGTCTCAATAGGACAGATGGTGCTCTTTTCGCTCACACATCTTTCGTTTTGATCAGTGGCAGTTTTATCTCTATCTTCCGGTGGATCAGCTACTCAATTGTCTGCAATGTCATCGATGTCTTTGGCACAGTGACCAACATACTGAATATTGTGTGTTTTGTTAGACAAGGCTTCCAAGACTCGGTCAACATCAGCTTGCTAGGTAACCACACACACACACACACACACACACACACACACACACACACACACAACTGTTGTTATACTTTGTATTTACCATTTTTTCCCAGATCTTTTGTCAGGTTGACGTGATGCTAAGGATTTTGGTAGGCGTGTATCGTGCAGTCACTACTAACTGTATGGTTAGGACTGTTTGCTCGACCCAAAAATTGAAATCACATCCTCGTGGATTCGAGCGAATGTATGCGAAACTTACCGTGATGAGTAAAGAGTTAATAGAGCGAAGGCTTTGTGAAACATGAGTGCACACGGGCATTCATGTTGTGATGACTGGTTGAAAGTGTAAACATGTGAGCCATTGAAAGTTGTGAAACAGTGGTTTCTTGGTGTTCATGGTGCCTGCAAACGCATCGAGTTTTCTGGGGGATGTGAGATCAACGTGTAGCTGACCGCTTTTGGTGGGAGTGCGTGGTACTTGAGTCAGTCGTTTTCAGTCAGTCTAAAAGCGTCAACATCTGTGCGAATTGTTCAAGTCCCATGAATGCATGAACTGGTGTGGCAGTTTTAACAACTCTGTTTTTGGAGCTCGTAAACTGTCTGACGAATGTGGTGGATGAATAAGTTGTGCTACGTAATGCTTTCGTGGTGATTTTCGAGAATTGGCTTGTGTCGGCCATGTGTGTGGGGTCGTTAGAGTTGCGGCTATGTGGCAATAAACTCACAGGAAACAAAGTACAGCAGGGATCTACCAGTCATCAGTAGAAATTATCCTCGTCGACAAGTGTTTCGGCCCACGATTCCTAGACACTTTCGGAGGTGGGCCCACCTGAGTTCATGAAGCTCAGGGCTGGTACCTGCTGCACGAAATTACCGGATGTGTTTTCTTTCGGATAGATGACAAGACGACTTGGTGTTGCTTTCGCAAAAGGTACTGTTATATAAAAAGTCGTCTGCGGCAGCCTAATTATAACAGTCAGCATGCCTGGACGACCGAGCGACAAGCTTACGTTTGGTTTACCGGACACATTTTGGACTTTTACTAGCAGGTGGCAGAGAGACACTGGCAGGACAATTCGGACACGATGGACTTTCAAAGGGTGAGAAACCCTTTTTCACTAGAGACCCGGACCAGCTCACCGAGGCCCGTCCCCTAATAAAGTTGCGTTGCGTCCAAAAAAAAATCGAGGCCCTTTCGGCTGCCTCGCCCAGTTTTTTAAGTGTTCGTTTCCGTTCATGACCGCGCAATCCTAGTTCTTTCACCACATTGTACAGTGAAGTGGAGACGAGACCTCTCGCTCCCACTTCGACGGCAAAGACCCGTACTGTGTACGATTCGTTTCTCCTCAGACCGGCTGCTAAATCACTGTATTTCTCGAGCTTATACAGATGATTTTCATCCATACGCGACTCATACGGGACGGTGAGCTCAATCAGGATGAGCTGCCGTTTCTCCGCAGAGTGGAGGACTATGTCAGGTCGCAGACCGGTCTTCCGGATCAACTCAGGGTACCTATCATGGCGCGGCAGATCAACTGCCAGTAACCAGTCCCTCGCAGAGTCTAGCACAAATGGAGCGAATGCGTTTCGGTTGACCTTACCTTTTTGAACCTGCCCAGCCTTGAGGAAGCGTATGGAAACGATAGTAGAACTGGCTCTGGCGTTAGCCCTCATTCTAGCCTGGTCGACAACGGCTGCTAACTCTTTTAGCACCTTGTTGTGTCGCCAGGTATATCGGCCTTGGCCTAGGGCTTTCCTGCACGCGGACAGGACGTGTTCTAGCGTCTGCTTCGCTTTACACAACGGGCAAGTCGGATCGTTGGTCGCCGACCACTTAACCATGTTAACACCGGACGGTAATACACGCCGAACGAACGATAAAGCTCAGTCGCAGTGGGGTCATCCGCCAGATCTCACCCCATATGAGCACTCTTGGCAATGCGCTCTCCAGGCTGACCCAATGGCCCTGCTGCGACTGTTGGACTGCTTTCTGAACCCGAACCTCGTTTTCGTTGTCCCTCACTGTTTGTATTACCATGTCTCGGCGTTCTTTGGCTGAGGCCTTTGACCACCAATTGACCTTCCCGTGCCCTAGACCTCGACGGTCGGTTTGAGTGTATCCCATTATCTCCTTCAATTTTAGTGCGTTCTGCGCAGATTCAATCGCATCGAGGACCCTCCACTTCTGACCAGTCTTTAGAGCGGGCTGGACAGCGATGACATTTGGGTCTGAAGACTCGCGCAAGAGCATGGCGAGTCTTACCTTGCCGACTTTAAACTCTTTGGTTATCGATTTGAACGGCAGTACCAGCTTAGCCTGCTTGCAATACAGAGCCACGTCGGTCAGACAAGGCGGTGCACCAATCCACTTTCTCAAGGCTGTGTTGATTTTCCTCTCCATGGTTTCCACTGCAGTCATCGTCACCTCGTAGACTAACAGTGGCCATAGGAACTTTGGAATCAACATGAATTGGAGACACCATACCTTGAATTTCCCGATCAGCCTGCATCGCTCGATCGCGAGAAGGCCTGTAGCCAGTGATTCGTGTATTCGCCGGACTTCCGCTCTATCAGATAACTTCGAATCGTAAACGCGACCAAGGCTCTTCACCGGTTCCTCCAGAACCGTGGGGATCTTGTTCCTTGCCACCGTAAAACTGGTTGCCGACACCTTTCCCTTATGGATTGACAGACTCCTCGACTTCTGCGGTTTGAACTGCATTCCGCTCCATTGGACCACGGCGTCCAATCTTTTCAGGATCGTGCGGGCAGACTCCTCGCTGCCCGTTATTATAGTCGTGTCATCCATTTGGCTAAAAATCTGCTTGTTCATCTCTTAGCCTTTTAGCAAAAACATCTGTTAATCTTTCCAAACTAATTCTACTCAATCTTTAACCAGGAACTGACAGCAACATAATTCCTCTACAGTTTTCACACTCCTGTTGATCACTTTTGGTGGGGGGGGGGGGGGGGGGGGGGGGGGAAACAGTTTTTACAAGATATCCTTCTCTTCAAGCTGCCGGTATTTCTTCAGTTTTCCAGACTATACTGAATAATCTATGTAACAATTCCGTGATGTGATTATGTTTAGAAAGCAATGGTAAATTATTGTACGCAATTTTGTCTAGAGAAATCACAACAGCCAAAAAATGCTGATGTTGGCTCTGCAACGTCCTGTAAAGGATACTCAACTAACTGCTAACTTTTTATGTTGGTCCTAATATCTTCTGTTGTGATACTATCTGGGCCTGCCGCCTTTCCTTCCTACAGATGATTGGTAGCTTTTTCTAATTTTCTCTTTATGTGGTTTCTCGCAACTGATATTCATTTCCATTTCTTAAAGCTTGATATCAGAAGGAACTTTTGGGGCTTGCCTATTTAGTAGTATTTCAATATATTTAAACCCATCTGTCCATTTGATCTTAAGTGTTGGTGAGCTGTCTCCGCTTCTTGTGCTAGTGTCTGCCTTTATAAGCTTCCTAACCTAATTTGTTTAAGTTTGTCTTTTTAATTTTCCTTACTTCAACCATTTTAATGGTCTCTGGTGTTATCCACGCTTTAGGTTTCCGTTCTTTCATACCAAGGCCGTCTACATGAGATGCATTTCAGATTTCCTTGATCTAATCCCAGCAGACTTCGGTGCTTACATCTGTTGTTGTTTTTTTATCCCTGAGATAACCTACATTATACTGGTTTCTGTGAGATGTTACGTATCTTTTAAGTTTCAACTTGATTTTACTTACCAACAACAACAAAAAAGTCACAAAATACATCCGCACCTCTTAAAGCTCTAACATCATACCGGCAATTTTGGTTAATACACATGTGGTCACGTTTATTGCTTGTCTTATGGTCTGGTGATTCCCATGTTGCCTTGTGTAATTTTGGGTGGAGTGGGGGGGGGGCGAGGGGGGGGGGAGCGATGCTTCCACCAATAACGTACTGGTTTCCTGCACAAAGATTGGTGAATAATTCTCCATTGTCGTTCATTTCTCCTATACCATGTTTTCCCATAATCTCATCATAACCTGTGTTATCCTATCGCAGCATTCAGGTCACCTATCTTCTTCTTCTTCTGCGCTCGACATCAGTCATGCTAAACATTGAGTCCCGTCTGGGTCACAAATAGGATTGTGCGTTTAAGGTCGCCACCGTTCTCCCGTAGCTTCTCTTGCAATGTGACTTCCTGGGGCCAGATCCACAGTCTTTGCTGGGAGAGGTTAGGGCAGTAATGCAGTATGTGCTCAGGGGTCTGTCTTTCTGCTCCACAATCGCAGGCAGCAGATTCTTTTATGCCTGTCCTGTACAAGTGTGCTCGAAGACCGCAGTGTCCAGTCTGAAGTCTAAAAATTGATGTTTGTTCCTTCCTGTTGAGTTTGTTTATGCTGTCACTCTCTGGTCTGTAATCTCCATTTCGTCTTCTCCACTCCCGATTGAATGTCTGCTTTAGCGCTGTTTTGGCTTCCTTGTAGCTGTGTCGTGGATGAGGTTGTGGAAGATTACTCCCAGCTTTTGCCAACTCATTTGCTCTCTCATTTCCTTGAATACCACAGTGGGCTGGTATCCACTGCAAGACCAGTTCTGCTTCCTTGGAGAGTAAGCCAATGTTGGTCCTTAAATCTGCAATTAGTTTGTCTTGTTTTTTGCTGGATAGAGCTTGGAGAACAGACAATGAGTCACTGAGTATAACAATTTGGTGCCCTCTGTGTTCTTGTGTGTTGAGATGTTGGACTGCAGAGAGGAGGGCAGTTGCCTCAGCTCTGAAGTTAGTGCAGATGTCACCTGCTGGTAGAGAGAGAGTTTCTGCTCTACTGCAAGGAGGTTTAATGTAAATTCCACAGCTCCCCTTTCTGACTGCATCTGTAGCAGAGCAGTCGGTGAAAACATGAGTCCAAGTGGTGTTTGGATACTTCTCATCAAGCATAGCAAGAGCCAGGGTTCTCTGTTGTGTCTCCGTCTGGGCATCTTTTGAAGTGATTCCTGGTACCTTTAGGACTACATTTACCTTCTCTGGCTTGCTTGTCC